GCGATATAGGTGAATATATTTATACATATATGTCTATACATCTTATATATATATATATATATATATATATATATATATATGTGTGTGTGTGTGTGTGTATATGTATATATGTGTATGTATATATATATATATATATATATATATATATACAAACACACACATATATATGAGCAATATCACACTCGTAGCAGTGCGAAATGGCTGTATATCAGCACTGGTGGGAGGCGTGCGTTGCAGTGCCGATATACAGCCATATAACACTGCTACGAGTGTGATATTGCGTTTATAGAACAGTTTGACGGCATAATTGTTTATATAAAAACAAAATCAAACATGGAAAGTCTCAAAAACCCTTTTGTATGAGGAACTACTTTCTTCCACGTTGGATTCAAATCATAAGCAGAAAGTTAAACAACTGAGCAAGTATCTTTTAAACTTTTGATCTGTAGTGTCTGCTTTTTGCTGGCTGTTTGACTACTAATGAACAGTTCATATCTTAACAATAGACAGATAATAAATGAATAGCATGAAATAGCAAGAAATATGACCAAAGTGTTACCAGAAATTCAAATAAATTTGGTGCAAGTGAAGAGTAAAGGGAGTTAATGGTTTTTCATAAAATGTATTTTTTTGTGAACTATCCAATTAAATAGTGAAAGAGTGAAACCTGGATGCTAATAAAGTTAACACATATAGCATTAGAACGTTATTATGTTTAGTCTCTTGGCATCATCTCAGATAGCTTTTATTGTTACATTTTACACCTTCACAGTACAGTAATTTAAATGTCTTCAAGCTGAGCATATCCTCATTGTCTTCTGTATTTTGCACTGTCTGGAGTCAGCACCTAAGCTTTTCACTCATTAGAACACGTGCTGCTGATGATGTGACAATAAAACTGATTTGATTCTGCATTGTTTATTTTCTTGCATTTTTAACCATATACTTTTTTCCTCCAGCACGGCCAGTGACCAAGATGACTTTGACTTCACCCACCATCGTGGCAAGGACCCCAAAACGCAAGATGCCCGTGGCCACCTGCATGTCGGCCAATGGCAAGCCTCCCAGCGTCATCAAATGGGACACAACATTGAAAGGAGAGGCCACGTTTCAGGAAACACGCAATCCCAATGGCACTGTGACTGTGCGCAGTAACTACATCGTGCTGCCCAGCCGTGAAACCCACCGACAGAAGCTCACCTGCATCGTCACCTACCGTTCTGAGCGATTCACCGACAGCGTCATACTCAACGTGCAGTGTAAGAATGCCTTTAAAAACTACTATTTACACTGAAAAATTTGCTGGTTGTTGACAGATTATACAGTGATAAAAATATCGATAAAGATGTTTTTCTTGTATTTTTAGTCTGTTCTGCTTGGCAAGCTTGCATTTATTTAAACAGCACAATTAGTTTTAATATTATTTAGTATTAAACTAATATTTATAATAATAATAATAATAAGAAGAAGAAGAAGAAGAAGAAGAAGAAGAAGAAGAAGAAGAAGAATATTTATTTTATTTTATTTTATTTTATACATATTATTTATTTATTTATTTATTTATTTATTTATTTATTTATTTAGTATCCTTTTGTCTTTTTTTCTTTTGTCATTTAATGATGTAATGACATTTATTTATTTATTTATTTTTCCTTTTGTCATTTATAAATTTATTATTTTTAATGTATTTATTTATTTATTTATTTATTTATTTATTTATTCAGTATGCAAATGAATAAATAAATAAATAGTTTTGCAAATATGATAAAAAAGTGATAAAAAAATAGACAGCAGCTTTAACATTTGACAAGTTTTTTTTTATTTCAAAGAAAATAAGGCTTTTCCCTATTTTATTTATTAATGAACCCTTTAAATTTAATTTATTGAAAGTTAATTTATTGAAAATTTAATTTAATTTAATTTAATTTAACTTAATTATTAGGCCGAAAAAAATAATAATAATTCATCCTGGGGAAAAAACAAGCAAGCAAATAAAACAGAACCATTAGTAATAGCTAAGCACATTATATTAAAACACATTCGATGACTGTAAAAACATTTCACAATATTACTATTGTAAAATAAATCCACTTTGTTCAAATAAATACAGACCTAGTGAGCTTAAAACAGCTTAAAAATAAAATATATCACCATAAGAGATAGAGAAAGAGAAAAGAGTTCTAGTGCAGAATATAGACAGAATTACATGTTTTCCAATATTAACTCAAAACTTAGATGTAATTGAACTGATTCATCATGCATGATTCATTTGATTTGTCCACCAAGCGACACATCTGTAAGACCCCACTGAAATGTCAACGGATGTCTACAAAATGCATGCAAATGTATTTGTGCTCGGTAATAAGATGTTTATGGCGTAGCGTTACGCAAGTGTTGTGGAGGAGGCTGAGAGCAGGAAGAGATGTGTCACTGGCCTGTCTCAGTGCCGTTGTTTTCAGCCTTTGTTTCGGGCAGTTCAGAGCAGCATTTCAACCCCCATAATAAAACACAAGAGATAGAGGAAATCCACCCATTCTCCCACACAATCCACTGTTTTTCCGCATGTGACTACTGAGTTTCAAATTGTGGGTTGCACTTCCGTTTTAGGGAACTTTCATTGAAAATAACTAAAACAAATCAATTGAAATCCATATTTGTAGTAAAAACTATGAGAGAGGTGTATGCTGTGTCTTTATTCGTCATGAAAATAATGTTTTGGTTTGCATGCTTTAACATGACGTACAGTTAAAGTCAAAAGTATTAGCCTTCCTGCAAATTGTTTGGGTTTTTTTTTCAAATATTTACCAAATTATGTTTAACACAGCAAGGTATTTCCACAATATTCATTCATTCATTCTCCTTCGACGTAGTCTCTTATTCATTAGGGGTCGCCAAAGCAGAGTAAACCGCCAACTTAACCAGCATGTTTTACACAGCTGAAGGCCTTCCAGCATCAACTAATCACTGAGAAACATCTATACACACTCATTCAAACACTAAGGCCAATTTAGCTTATTCGACTCATGCTAGCATGGGGAGAACATGCGAACTCCACACTGAAACGCCACCTGACCCAGTTGGGACCTGAAGCAGTGACCTTCTTGCTGTGAGGCGACAGAGCTAACCACTGAGCCACCATGTCACCATTTGCACAGTATTTCTTATATATATTTTTTTTTTTTTCTGGAGAAAGTCTTATTTGTTTTATTTTAACTAGAATAATATAATTATTATTCTATTATAATAATTATAATATTAATATTATAATATTAAGACAATATATCACTTTAAACTATTAAAATGTTAATAAAGGTTAAATGTTGTTGGAAGAAAGATCAAGGACCCATAATGCAACTCAAAAACATAAATAAATGTGTAAAAAAATAAAAAATAAAACAAAAATATGGAAAACTGCTAATTTACATTGATTGATTGTACATGAATTACTTTAATATGCATCATGAAAAAAAGAAACAATGCGATGCTTGTTTTGTGTGTGTGTGTGTGTGTGTGTGTGTGTGTGTGTGTGTGTGTGTGTGTGTGTGTGTGTGTGTGTGTGTGTGTGTGTGTGTGTGTGTAAAAGGAAGACTGTGTTAATCGTCCCGATTCTTGATTTACTTTGAGTGTTCTGCTAATCAAGTTACCCTTTGCTATAACATTTCCAAATTGAATTTGCTCAGCCTCATACATGCTCATGAAAGCAATTAAGCATAAATCTGAAGAGACGTAGAAATTACTGACCGCTACCATCAAGTAATGCAGTGCATTTTAATACTGTCATTAATAGAAAAGAAAAAAAAAATTGTGCCGTAATGAATTGAAATTTGGCATTTAGCTGAGGTCCTTATCCAATTAGGCCAATTTCTGGAATAGTTGCCCTGAAGTGGCTTGCGGTTAAGTGGGTAGCTAAAGGGCAGCGCGGTGGTTGTAGTCTCTGTAACCCTTCACTTGTTGGCTCTTCTCTCAATCGCTTAAGAAAGAATCTCTTGACCTTTCTGCTACGAGACTCACGCCATTAATCACTATAACGACAATGTCCGTCGTCACGTCATGTGACAAATTGGTTGTTTTTTCAAGTAACAAATACAAAACAAAAAGTTAGTGTTTATTTATTTATTTATTTATTTATTTATTTATTTAGCTAAACATTGATGAACACATTATTTGAACCAAGACTCATAATAAAAAAGTATCTCTACATACAATTCTGGACAGAGCGAAATATGTCCCAGGAGTTACGTTTTTTGCTGTTTTTTGATTTTGCAAATTCACCAGAAACCTCCGTTTATGCTTTTACAGATCTCAAATTTTTCTCGCAAATGCTATTTGTGCCTGTTGTTCTTGCGTAAATCCCCCAAAGGCCACTGTCGACTGACTGATTGACTGAATAACCAATCGACCAATGTCCTAGCCAATACACT